CGGGGCGCGCGCCCGCCTGCGTCTCCACCCGGAAGAGCTGCCGGGGCTGCAAAGTTGAGGCTGTGCGCGGCTGGGCGATCTTCAGGAGCGCAGGCCTGGCCGAGCAGCCGCGCGAAGCTAACACTGCGGAGTCTGCGCGCCCCCGCGGCCCGAGGCGCTCCGAGCGGCCACGCGCACGCCCCGCCCCCACTGGGTTCCTCGTGCCCCGGGGGCTGCGAGGACTACCCCGCCGCCGGGCCGGAGCTCCCGCGCCTTTGGGAGGAGCGCGTCCCCGGAGAAGCTGACACTGCGTGTCAGCCGGTAAGTGACAGCCGCTGCCTCGTTTCACGGTGGTTTATTTATTTATTTTCTAGTAGTTAGTCTCAAGTCTCGCTCACGTCTTTCTAGTTAAGAAACTGTTTAGCTCCGCTACCGGTCCGTCGAGGGAGCTGCCCGGGAGCAGAGCCCGGAACGGGTCAGACCAGCGGAGGTGTCGTAGGGCAGGGGCTGAGCGCCCAGACCCTGTGGATTAGGAATTTAGTTTGTAAAGCGTTCCTTTGGGAGCGGGTCGGCTCCACGTCTGCCGCGCCACCGAGCGGGCCCGGAGGAGGAGCGGCGAGGGCGCGCTCCCGCGGGGAGCGGGGCGTGTCCTAGACTCGGGGCGCGGTTCCAGCCGGCGAGAGGCGGGGCGACCAGGATCCCCATGCTTCTGCATTTTCCTTTACGGACCTTCACTTTGGTCAAGAGAACTAAATAAAGCAAAATGCTTTTGTCTCCAAATATTCAATAAGAAAAAAAAGGAAAAGGGAACTCCAGAGTTGTGCCTTAATCCTGTATCTAGGTGGGCGTGTTAATAGAGTCAACGAACTGCATATAAAATATTTGAGTAGTCAGTATTGCACAGGTATTGAAAGAGTATGCTGTTGTCAGAAATTTGGTCCATAAAAGGATATAAATTGATGGTCTAACTAGGCAAAATTTCATCCAACTTTAATTTGAACTTTGAATTCTGCAGCTGCCCTCTTCACTTTATGGAGCTGTTTTTCAAATTGCTGAATTTGTGGCTCTAAATTGAATATGCATCTAAGAGAATCTTAGGATTCTCTTGCAGCCACCCTTGAGATCCCAGTGGTTTTGTTTGTTTTTAAGCAAAGACCACATCTTTGTAGAAGCACTGTGTAATTAGTTCTTGTCAAGGGCTTGTCTGTTTTATATTCAGCTGACTTTTTATTACCTAACTAAAACAAAATCACTTATCAATGTGGTGTTCATAATTTTCGTTCACTTATTCTCTTCGATGTAAATTTGTTCATCTCTAATCTCACACTGGCTATCATATATAGCATATGTAACACGTATTCAGGATGTTAAACTGTAAACTTTGTAACTTATTTAATCCTCGTATTTGTACAGCCTAGTACAATAAATGTTGGATGAATCAAGTAAATTGGATTAAAGTACACCTCTTCTAAGGTATTTGCTCTGTTTCCAAACCATGTATAAATTTGGACAAATATTTGGACAGTTCACTTGTAACTGCCCCAGTGCAGCTACATTCCCACAAGTGGGCTTGTTGCCCCATTTAAATTTAAATCCTTTCTCCTTTGTGGTCCTATTTGTATTGCATTTTTTACCACTGGTGGGGCAGTTTTCATTTGACCTGTCTTCTGGTTCTCTGAGGACATAGAGCCTTTTTTTTTTCTATATTTTTCATTTGCCAGAATAGTGTCTTTTGCAAGGTATATATTAGGAAATGGACATCGAATTGGTTTTTGCATATATAATTTGTGGTCTGAATTCATGAAAATGGAATGGGGGTAGGCCCTTTTTAATCTGCAAGTGTATATTTAGAAAGAAGATGATGGTGATGATGTTTGCCAGTGGAATGAGATAGGTGAAGTTTGGTATATATTATGTTTATTTCCAATCTTATTTATTATTCAAAAACTTAGTGTTTCTTTCCTCAGTTTGTCTAGTTCTTTTGTGCTCTTTGTGTGTATGTGGTACTGGGGGGTTGAACCCAGCTTCATGCATGCTAGGTATGTGCTCTACTGCTGCTCTACATCCCCAGCCCTTTTTTAATTGTATTTTTTGAGACAGGGTTTCACTAACTTGCCCGGCCTCACTTTGAACTTCCACCTGCCTTAGCTCCTCCATAGCTGGGATTACAGGTGTGTGCTTGTTTTCTTTATAGCTGTTTTTGCTGAAGTCTGAAGTTTTCCTAGATTAGGAAACAAACTCACCTCTAAATAAACATTTCTAAAGAAAATAATTGATTATTCAAGTTAAAACTGGCTTCATTTATGTAGTAGAATATATATGAAAGTGTGTGTGTGTGTGTGTGTGTGTGTGTGTAATTAAAGAAAGAAATAAAAAAATGGTATGCTTTTCTTTGAATAAAACCTAGAATCAGGGCTGGGACTGTAGCTCAGATGGTAGGGTGCTACCTAGCACATGTGAGGCACTGGGTTCAATCCTCAGTACCACATAAAAATAAAATAAAGCTGTTGTGTCCATCTACTATAAAAAATATTGAAAAAGGAAAAAAAAAGCCTAGAACAGGACAGTTGCAAAGAACTTCACTGACAATGACTTTGGACAAAAGACTGGTGTTTAAGACATTATACTTAAGAGCAACTGTGTATGTATGTAATGTGGTCAAAGAAAAGTGTTACCTTTTACATATATTACATAAATTATAATATCAATATAGGGTTAATGAAGAGAAAGATTTGGGAAAAGATATGGGAAATACTTTTATCATTTTGGATTTCCATAATCAGTACCATTTAATTTTTTGGCTTAAATTTCATTTCTCATTTTTTTTTTAATAAAGAGAGAGTGAGAGAGGGGGACAGAGAGAGAGAGTTAACATTTATTTATTTTTTCTTAATTCTCGGCGGACACAACATCTTTGTTGGTATGTGGTGCTGCTGAGGATCGAACCCGGGCCGCACGCATGCTAGGCGAGCGCGCTACCGCTTGAGCCACATCCCAGCCCTCATTTCTCATTTTTAATGTACATGTTATTGCACAACTAACTATAACAGATAATCTAGATCTAGTTAAGGTTTGAATTCAGATATTATTTTTGTGATTATAGCATGACCTAAAACCAGGATGATTTACAACCAAAAAATCATTTTGATTTTGTGAAAATCTTGAATATCAAAGAGATAATACAATTTTTTCATTTTCTTTAGTAATCTAGATTCAAGATGAATAATGATCAAGTTATGCTGGTGGGTCAAGTGTTCGAGTCATATGCTTCAGAATACCATAAGAATGACATTCTTCTGATCTTGAAGGAGAGAGATGAAGATGCTCATTACCCAGTTGTAGTTAATGCTATGAACCTTTTCGAGACCAACATGGAAATTGGAGAATATTTCAATGCATTCCCCAATGAAGTGCTAACTGTTTTTGATAATGCACTGCGAAGGTCAGCCTTGACAATTCTCCAGTCCCTTTCTCAGCCTGAGGGTGCTTCCATGAAGCAGAATCTACATGCCAGGATATCAGGTAGATCACTTTAAGAATGTTACTGCCATGTAATTTTCTATGAAGATTTTAAGAAAACAGAATACCTGTGGGATTCAGAGCACTAAAAATCAATTTGTATTTTTACGTAAAATACATAACTGTTGGGTAGCTATTGGTTACTTCTTTCAAATTAGAATAATGATTATCATCTCTGGACATGGGGTAACAGACATCTAATAGAGGGGAAAAAAGATGTGGAGACAATAATATATGTGTAATTCTCTATGTGTGTAAAATTGTAATCCCAAGCAGTTTTATGAGGTTTTGTGACTACTAATAATAAAAGAGTTGGTAATGTAAGGATTAGAAAAGTGGTAGATCCTGCCCAGTGAGCTTCAAAACTATTTTAGGAAATTAATTATTCTTATATATTAAGATAAGCATTGTACTGTCTACCTGTCAGGAACATTTTTGTTGAAGGAATGACAAATTAAGCATCTTAATTTTTAAGTAACTACAGTGGAGTAATCATAACTTTTGGTGGCAAAGTCATGACCATGTATTCCTGGCTCCTTGATCCTTATCTTTATTTAAAAATGAGTTTTAACAAAGTGGATAGAATTGAAGAGTCACTCTTAAGAATTTTAGGAAAGTAGCACTACAGTGTAATAATTTTTCATTACTTCATTCCATGGGAATCATTTCTGGAAAGATGTGTGGAATGATGAAAGGAGAAAAATGAATTTGGAAGATGTCTGGTTAGAGCTATGTGCTGGGCTGGGAGATTGAGCAAATTACTTTATCTCATTGAACAAACTACCTCTAGAGTCCATGTTAACCACCTAGCCTTTTGGTTTTCTTTAAATTTGAAGTTTGTCCTCATTATATAAACTAATAAAGGCAGGTACAACCTCAATCTATTTATGAAAAAGAAGGATATGGTGAAATTAAAAGCCGACTCCAGAATACTTAAAGTGGCCTGTAATTAAGTTGGAAAATACACATACCCTTTTGTTTAAAAATAAATGTTTACCTTATAGTACATTTGAGGAGGGTGGGGATTTATAATCAACAGAAATGCTTAATACGATTCCAAAAAGGTTAGAGTAGACCTCCTTGGAGGCAAATTAAGATTCCCCAGCAGAAATTTGATTTAAATGAAAAATAGTACCTGCATTTACATTTTCTAGGTTAAAATTATGAAGATTATTAATCATTATGCATCAGGGCACTTAGATAATCTCTTGGTGGGTCAAGAAGAAATGTTCCTTTTTAATAAGTTTGCAAAAGGATTGTTAAAAGGGGGCTTTAACAATTGAAAATTGTTGAAATAGTAGTTAGAAAGTGGTTCTATACTTCTCTTATCTTAAATTTAAATAATGAAATTCTGTTTTAAGTGACCCTATCAGTTTCAGATGAATTTAGCCTATTTTTTTCAATTCTTATCTGAAAAAAATATTATGTTATTACCTTAGTATCATATCATTTTGGGAAACCAAAGAGTAAGGGGTAATCCTTTCTCAAAAAGGTGCTCAAGACTGGGGGAGATATCTTATATAGTTAAATATTTATCACATGCCTATGGATACATGCATATTTACATATTAAACAGAATTGTAAAGGACCTTAATGACAGCATTTGTTTTACAATGCATGCCTCCCTCAAGAAATGTTTAAGGTATATATTAGCTCATAGAACAGAGAATTAGTTCTAGGAGAATCGCTGGAGGTTTCAAGAAGATAAGGCCAGTGAAGGATGGAGGTGTCCCAGAAGAATGAACAACATGTGTAAAAGATCAGAGCCTGAAATAGTCTGATTTTCAGTATGTTGCACCTCTATATTAGACTCCAGATTAGGAATTTAATTGTTAAAACTCAGGATGCCTTTGTGGTTTACTCTCCTTAGGAATATAAGATAGTTTCCAGCTTTGTTTTACCAGATATACATTGAATTTTATTCTTTTACCTATATATTTTTTTCTTTTACCTATATTTCTTACTTTGTCCTCTGGAATTTTTATTAGCCTAAAGTTTATTTGGTATTTCAGTGGTTTACATGAAAAGTAGATAACAAAGAATAATATTCATGAATTATTTAAAGCAGTAGTTTTCAAATATTAGCATCCAAATTATCTGGAAGACTTGTTAAAACACTGATTGCTGTGGCTGCTGCTCCCCTCTCCCCCAAGTTTCTAATTGAGGATAGCAGATGTGAGGCCTGAGAATTTACATTTTCTTTTCTTTTTTTTTTTTAGAGAAAGGGAGAGAGAGGGAGAGAGATAACTTTTTAAAAAATATTTATTTATTTTTATTATTTGGCAGACACAACATCCCTGTTTGCATGCGGTGCTGAGGATCGAACCCAGGCAGCGCAGATGCCAGGCTAGCGAGCCACCGCTTGAGCCACATTCCCAGCCCCGAGAATTTGCATTTTTAGTACCTCTCAGTAATGCTGGTGCTGCTGGTCTGGTGACTATACTCTGAGAACCATGGCCCTAAAATAATTGATGTGGATATATCTCTATTTCAAAAACTTTTTTGTTCTTTTATCAGGGAATGGGTCAGAGAATGCTAAAGGTTCTTGCGTTCAGCACTAATGGTAGCTGAGCTCCAAGTGATTCAACTGGGATAATTGAAAAGCATACATAGTAATATATATAGGAATTAAAATTCTCTGTGTCAAAATAAATTTATTAATAATAAATTGACCTATTAAAATGCTATCTCAGCCTTTTTCAGTACTTCTAAGATTTGACTATATATGGCCAGTTTTGCTTAAAATTTTGTTGCCTTTGTCTTTTTAATATAATATCTTTTTTAAAATTTTTATTATTAATTGTTCAAAACATTACATAGTTCTTGACATATCATATTTCATACTTAATATAAAATCTTAAACATCTTCATGTGAGATGAAAGAAAAGAACCTGAAGACCCAGAAATGTACTCACCTCTGTAACCCTTTTTAAATAAAAGTATACTTTCTATATAAACAAGCCATTTAATCTGACATGTTTTAGACTAATTAAAAAAAAAAAAAACACCTTAGCCTAACATGTATCACTTGCATGATTCAGTAGGATGTAAACTGTACTTTTAAGATTTCTAATTTGAGAACATTAATGATGACATATTGCCCTGTACTATAAAAGTGTAGAAGATACTTATAAAAGTTAATTTTCTTAGAAAATTGGTTGGAATTGTTTACATAGTTTTTCTTAAGAGAGATAAAATTGATTAGACACAGTGTCCTTGCTAAGGAAGAACAGTAAGGGATTCCCTTATTCTGGCTACCCTCTAGAGAGGATACAGAGGGGAGTGCTGAGCATGGACCTAGGTAGGGCTGGGCCTCCTCCCTGATACCTACAACTTGCCTTCTTTCCAAATGTGAAGCAGGTTTCCAACACATTTTCTTGTGCTGATTGAAAAAAAAAAAATAGGTGGGGTGGGTTTCATGTAGACTTGTCATGATCTAGCATATGTGGACTTGGAACATCATCTGTAAGGAGAAGTTGTCCATGGAACCAAAGAATACCTTCTTTTTATTCTTCCTGGGTAGAAGTTTCCTTCAGATATAAAAGACATCGTTTATGCCATTTTGCATCAGTTGATAATTTTGCTAAGTTATGCCATTTATGTAAGTGTGGACTACCTTCTGATTATTACTGTTATTGTTAGGCTTTTATAGTGCATGCATCAAAATGCTCACTGTAGAATCTTAAAGTATTATTATACCTACTATGGTTATTTCTCATGAGTTTGGCAAACCTGATTGATTAATCTTTAGTGTGCACAGTGATCAGGTTTTGAGCCACTTAATTCTCAGGAGAAAACAACAGATCACAGGGCATGAACTAGTATAGCAAATGCTACCCTAATAAACCTGTTGGGAAGTAGCCTTGACCATGACAACCAGCATCTCTCCACTTCAGTGATGCATTGCAGCCAAATATAAAGGGCATTTCTGCACTAGACTTTTCTTTGGCATTTTGCATCTTTTTAGTTCCCTGTTTTTTGTTTGTTTTCTTTTTTATGTTGAACAACACAGGTTTTAAAGAATAAAGTGATGCTGTGGATAAACTTCTAGGTAAATCAAGACCTAAAAACACCATCAGATTTATGTATTTATAAATACTGAACTTAACTGAAAAAAAAAAAAACCCAATCAGGTAGCTCTGTGAAACTCTTTGGTCGTCATGCTGTCTGTCATCTCTCTCTCTGCTTTGTGACTTACTGAAGGAATCCGCAGCTTATTTTATGTGTGGCAAGTAGCAATATTTTCTTTGTGAAATATGATTACAATTATACCCCATATTTAGATCCTACTGGGATAGCCAATTTATAAGGATAAATTCTATTTTTAACCCTGGTTATTACAGCATCTTGATATATGCTTTTGAGAGTCCTTTGAAAATTGTTACTTGAAGTCCTTTCTATGTTCGTAATTGAGTTGATGATTTTTTTTTCTTAAGTAAAATACAAATATTTTCTTTCCTGAAATTATAGTTTCTCTCCCAGGAAATAGGAAGAGTATATTCCATGGAGTCAAATCTGAAGGTGTAAATTGATGTTGTTTTTCTACTAGGGTTGCCTGTCTGTCCTGAGCTGGTGAGGGAACACATCCCTAAAACCAAGGATGTGGGACACTTTTTATCTGTCACCGGGACAGTGATTCGAACAAGTCTGGTGAAGGTGCTGGAGTTTGAACGAGATTACATGTGTAACAAATGCAAACATGTATTTGTGGTCAAGGCTGACTTTGAGCAGTACTACACCTTCTGCCGCCCATCCTCGTGTCCCAGCTTGGAGAGCTGTGATTCTTCTAAATTCACCTGCCTTTCAGATTTGTCTGCATCTCCATCCCGGTGTAGAGATTACCAGGAAATCAAAATTCAGGAACAAGTAAGTGATCCAATAAATGAGAAAAACAACAGATTTGAGGAAGTGGTTTTCCATTGTGGTCAAATTGTTAGGATTAGGTAATACAAAAGGAGTACACAGACTTGTGTCATCATTTTATGGAAGATCAATCTTAAAACTGATGCACATATATCAGAATATAGGTTTTAGATTTAGAGACCATGAAATAATCGTCTTTCCAGATAGAACATTACTAAAAAGATATGGAATAACTTAATAATTAGGTTAAGTATGTTTATTATTAAGATGAATATTTAAGAATTCTAAATAGCCATGCTTCACTTAGGGACAGGGGGAAATTCAGTGATTTTTAACTGGTTGTGAAACATGGGTACAGCAGGATTCAGGATTTCAGTTCAGTTTTAATTGCTGTGCCAAAGGAGGTATCCTTTGTCTTTAACAAAAATGAGCATGATTTTCCTTCACTAATCACAGAGGTTTGTTGTCTCATCTAAAATAAGCAGGAGATAGACAATCCAAGGCTAGTATATAGTCTCTTCAGTTAAGGACTCAGACTTCTTTCTTTTGTACCTCTTTTTTTTTTTGTTATTGCTGTTTTGGTACTGGGACTTGAACCCAGGGAGCTCCACCCCTGAGCTACATCACAGCCCTTTTCATTTTGTATTTTAAGACAAGGTCTCACTAAGTTGCTTAGGGCCTTGCTAAGTTGCTGAGGCTGGCCTTGAACCTGCAATCCTCTTGCCTTGAGTTGCTGGGATTACAGGTGTACACCATCTTTTGCATTACTTAGTGCATGATTTCTATTCTTATTTTTTTCATTTAATTGATTTTATTTTTTAAAATACATGATAGCGGAATGCAGTACAATTCTTGTTACACATATATGCCACAATTTTTCATATCTCTGTTTGTATATAAAGTATGTTGACATCCAATTCATGTCTGATGGTACAGTTTTCAAGAAAAATTCCTTAAGTCCCCATCATAATTAAATTGTATGAAAATACCAGAGAAATGAAAACAGTAATTTCAAATACTGTTGACTTCTAGATACTTAGTATGTATTTAAGCAAGCTTAGTATCTGTTTTCTGTTTTCTTTTTTTTGCTAGGTTCAAAGGCTATCTGTTGGAAGTATTCCACGATCTATGAAGGTTATCCTGGAAGATGACTTAGTAGACAGTTGCAAATCTGGTATGAACTTTTTTTTTTTTTTTTTTTGAGATGGAGTCTCATTATGTTGACCAGGCTGGTCTTGAACTCATGGACTTAAGTAATTCTCCCACCTCAGCATCTCAATTTCCTGAGTAACTGCTACTAGAGGCATATACCACCATACCTTAGCTTCTATAGGCAGTCCTAAGTATTGATTAGGAAAAGTCACTTTTTATTTTCCCCAAGATCACTGCAAAGGAATGTAGAAACTTAATTGTTCGCCTTGAGAGTACAGACTGGCATGGAGGTGGGAGATGATACAAAGGAAAAACTGGACTGGAGCTTAGAGATCTAGCCCCACTACTTGTTTTATACACAAAGAACTACTTGCCCAAGGTCACTTAGAATGTTAAGTGGCAGCAAAGGAGTATGAATCCAGATTCATTTATTTCTGTTCGAGGGCCCTTTCTTTGTGTCATAAGTTAACTATAGCAACTTACAAACAGGCTGGGGATATAGGTCAGTGGTAGAGCACTTGTTTAACATGTGTGGGGCTTTCATATCTATTTACATATCTATCTTTCTTTCCCTTTTACCCCTGCCACACACACACACACACACACACACACACACACACACACACAAAGAATCTAGTGGATTTAGTGGACACTTATATAAAATGAATCAAAGAATATGACTGTCAAATGTTGCAGAAAGTCTATCTAATGCCAAAAAAAAGGAGGTGATTGTTCTTCTCTGCTATGTATTGGTGACATTATGAAAGGAATCACATTAATTTTGAAAAGAATATTCTTTAGTAGAGAATGTTTACAATTAAATTGAATTATTTTTGCATTGAAAATAAATCATAAGCTATTTTTCTTTTGAATGTCATTAATAATAAAGGATGGACGGAAGCAGTCTGTCAATAGCAATTTTTTTCATTTATCTGTAGCCCCAGACCTCTGGAATCAATAGGAGAGAATTGGAAGTAGGTAGAGCAATTTAGGTGCTGATGAAGCAACTAGGTGTGGATGTGATAGGGTACTGTCTATGGTGATAGGTCAGAAAGAGTGCATAAGAATTTTTTATATCAATAATTAGCAATAATTTGATAAAATTTGGTGTTGAAATATATATATATGTATATATACACACACACACACACACACACACACATACTCCTTGCCCTTTGGGAATTTACAGCTTAGGTTACAAACTCCAATTTGAAATATGCAGAGTAGTAAAGTTGGAGGTTATGTGCTGACAACTGTCAGTGCAGCAGATGAGAAAATGGGTCTGACTAGAAATGGCTGCAATAGTACAGATGCTGTAGAAGACAGAGGCACAAAAAGAGATTGAATTGTTTAAAAGAATTTTAGCTTCCTGAAAAATAATAGTTTTTATACATAGTATAAAAAATACAAAAGTTTAAAATTAATGGTCATTGCCTTGGACTACCACATGTATCTCACATTTGTTCTAATGACACAAATCTTGCATTCAAGAGGTATTTGAATGAATGAAAATATTTAAATGTTGAAGAGTTTACAGAGGTATTAGTTGCTCTATAAATGTAAGGCAAGTTTTTTATGAAAATAGCTAATACTTATTGAGCACTTACTATATTTTTGATATTACATTAATTTATGTACATAATCTGACCTAATTCTCATTGTAGTCCTGTGATGTAAATCTAATTATTCTCAATTTGTAGGTCAAGAACGGGCTCAGGAAAATAGGTAATTTGTCCAAGGTCACACATAGCAAATGAGCAATAGAGCTGGTATTTAATCCAAATTTGATGACATTCATTCTTGGACACTCTTCAGTACTCCACATTTTCCATATAATACTGCTTACTGAAAGATTGTTGCTAGTGGGTGCTATATCTAAAGTTAAGTTCCTCAGTAGAAATCCATTAGAATGATGGTAATATAGAATTCTTTCAAGTAAATGTTCATAAAGATTGCTTTGATTATGGTTTTATGTATGTATGTATGTATGTATGTATGTATTTGTTTGCTTACCACTGATCTACATCCCCAGACCCTTTTATTTTTTAATTTTCAGACATACTCCCTCAGTTCTTTTTATCTAAAAGGTTTGGGGAGGCTGGGATGTGGCTAGTAACTAGGGAGGCTAAGGCAGAAGGATCACACATTCAATTCCAGCCTCAACAATTTAGCAAGACCATAAGCAACTTCACAAGACCCTGTCTCAAAATAAAAACATTTTTACAAAAAGGTCTGGGGATGTCACTCAATGGTAGAGAATCTCTAGGTTCAAACCCCAGTACCAAATAAATTAATTAAAAATGAATAACTAAATAAATAAATTAAAGATTGGGACACACAGTGTAGTAAATTATTTATTATTCTCAGTTGGCTTTGGAGACCATCTAAGCAGTGGCTTAGGAAAAATCTTGGAAACATGTAAAGTGCCTGTTTAGTGTTTATCACTCTAAAGTTGCCTGTAACTAGAAATGTACTTTCTATTCTGTAAATTGGCACTGTTGGTTCCAGGCTTTCAGCATTTGTGGACTACTTTTCTTCAGGAAATCAAAAGCTCTTCAGATTATACATTACATATTGAAATTTAGAGAGTGAAAGGCATTTTGCATCAGCAGATAGAATACACATAGCACAAAGGCTTGGGCATGAAGACTTGCCTCTTAGTTCTGAGACAGTGTTTGTTGTGCAAAATATAAATACCAAGATGTAGTCTTGAGATGTCCAACATCCTGTATTCAATGTGATTGAAATTTGCGGGGATTAAGTTTATGGGTTTTTGTTCTTTTGGTTTTGGCATTTGTTTCTGCAGTACCAAAATACTGAATGCCAAGCATTCATATTTCATTGTTAACTGATAAATTGCATTGTATGAAATAAGCACAGATGTTATCATTTGGTGAATGTCTATATGAACTACCCAGGCCTTTTAGGAAAAATACATCAATCTAATATTCTATCTACCAAAAATAGGTGTTTTTTTCAAGTAGGAAGGGACCACCAGGAAAGCAGGAGCTGGGTTGTCACTTTGTGCTTTCCTGCTTTGAAATAGAAAAGGTACTCATTGATTTCATAATTCCTTTGATTAATTTTTTAAAAGGAGGTAGTGAGTAAAATATTAACAAATAAGTTAAGTAAAAATAAACTTGTATGAAACTACACTAGGTGCTAGGCATCACGAGATTGTCTCTTTTTGACACCAAATTGATACCCTGGCTGCAGCATCTCCTCTAAATTGGAACTAAATTGTTAGAAACTCTTGAGAGGATGAACATGTTGCCCAACCTAACAATGAATAAATCATCCATTAAATTATTTTTCCTGTGAGGAATGATAATTTTGTTTATCACATACTATAAAAAATAAAAATACTGATTTCAGGTTTTAGTTCTGCATATACAAGTACCTTTAAAAAAAAAGTTGGGGGAGACTGAGACAGGAAGATTGCAAGTTCAAAGCCAGCTTCAGCAATGGCAAGGTGCTAAACAACTCAGTGAGACCTGTCTCTAAATAAAATACAAAATAGGGCTGGGGATGTGGATTGGTGATTGAGTGCCCCTGAATTCGATCCTCCCCCCAAAAAAATTAGGAATCTTTGTTTATTTTTTAAAGAGAGAGAGAATTTTTTTAGTTTTTGGTGGACACATCTTTATTTTTTATTTTTATGTGGGGCTGAGGATCGAACCCAGCGCTCCGCGCATGCCAGGTGAGCGCTCTACCGCTTGAGCCACATCCCCAGCCCAGGGGTGTCCTTTTACTCCCAAATTATTTTCTGGATGAGCAAATTATTTATAATTTCAGGTCCCTTGTTACATGAATTTGTGTGCAACATGCATGATGCAGCTATTACTGGATTTACTTGGTGCTTTTTCCAGGTGATGACCTCACTATTTATGGGGTTGTAATGCAACGGTGGAAGCCCTTTCAGCAAGATATACGCTGTGAAGTGGAGATAGTGCTGAAAGCCAACTACGTCCAAGTAAATAATGAGCAGTCATCAAGGATTATTATGGATGAGGAAATCCGAAAGGAATTTGAAGACTTTTGGGAAGACTATAAGAATGATCCCTTCGCAGGTTTGTGATTAAGGGAATGAAGCTTATGAACTAATGGTATTAAATTCAGTAGTTAAATACGGTGTCTGTGATTTGGGAACAGCCTTATGTACTGCATAAGTCAGTGGTGTAGTTCAAAGAGTAGCTTTAGTACCTCTAGATGTAGTCTCCCTTTTCTGGCATAGTCTTTTCTACTTATAGATCTTCCTAGAGATTACTTCTTTCAGTTATTTTAAACAACTGTTATACTGTCAGAGCAGTCTTAGAGTTTCCTACCTTCTTTACCAATTAAGAATGCAATTCTTTAAAAAGTCAAAACTCATCCTGTTGTAAAACCTTATTCTCTTCAAGCCATTATTTTCTAATGTATTCTTAAAATATATTTTTGGTTGTAGATGGATGGACACGATACTTTTATTCATTTTTATGTGGTGTTGAGGATTGAACCCAGTGCCTCACATGCCAAGCAAGCACTCTACTACTGAGCCACAACTCCAGCCCCTTTCTAATGTATTTTTGACAATAAAGACAACTTCTCCTTGTTTTAGCTGAAGATTTTTAAATAGGGAGGACATAGGAAATGATGAGAAGATACAAAGAATAAACTTTGTCACCGCGGCAAAAATTCTATCAGACGAAGGTGTAATTACATAGAATAAAATATCACAGCCTTTGGGTATATATATTTTTATTGGAAATACCAAATGAAAAAAATACCAATTAAATGTTCCCCTTTTTTCATTCTTCCTTGGAGGCACCTTCTGAGAAAACTAAACTGAAGCCTGTAATAGACTATTTCTAATAAACTTTACCACAAATCAAATATATATTTATTCTTACGTCCCATGCAGAACTAGACAGATGAGAGTTCATAAAATAGCTTCCATTTACCTAAACATGGGAATTTGTTTATATTTTGCAGGATTTTTTTAAACTTAAGTATGTAACACATATGTAATAGTTTCTGATCTTTTATTTGATCTACATAGAAAAGAGCCCAAAGTTCTCTCTACTGTGGCTTTATTACGAAGTGCTTTAAGAATCACATATATTTTTAAGTGAACTTTTTAATCAAAATTGTTTTCTTAGGATGAGGTCCTTATAATAATAATTTCTACTCTTCCTTGGCACATGGTCATTCCTTATTCATTTCAGTGTCACAGCTCAACTCTACATTATAACAGTGAAGGTTGGTCATCATGCTGTGCTCTAACCAGACCTTCACAAGTGCTTTGTGCTGATGATTTAAAAACCTATCTTATTTCTATCTTAGTTTCCTATATATCAGGTACCAGTGCACTATATTTGACCATTTCAAAGTCTATATGTGTATTGGTGGAGGAGAGGTGAAGATGAGAACCTGTTTCCAACAGGACATCTTCCTTCTGTGTCTTAACGCTGGAGGTTGCTCTTCTCCTCTTGGAGGTTGACTTATTTCTCGATACTGTGGATATTGACTTGGATGAGACTCAAGAAGTTTTATTCTGACCTATAATGACCTCAAGGACCCCTTAACCCTGGTGCTGAGGTCTGTTGGGCCATCTGAACCCTCTCTAGGGTGACTTAGTTATCTTAGATCAAAGGTTTTCTTCATTGATGTAACTGAGGGCCATGCCATAAGAGGAGATAACTTGGCCATGGCCATATCACTAACAAGGTCTAGAACCAAAAATTTCAGGAGGGAGGAGGTGATGGAATGGTATTCACCCTAATGTATTTTTCATGGTAAAGCCATGGAAGCACCTATTGCTATAATCCAAGGAATCATGTTCTTCAACTTAGACAGCACATTTAGGATAATGGTCTTCCTCTTTTGCTTATTGCTGGTACCCCAGTTCTACCTTCATTGTGTATCTTTTGTATTAAGGAGATCTTGAGATCAGAAACAAGCACAAATAATTCAGGAAAGAATTAATGGTTAAGAAGTCTCTACTGTGTGCTAGGAACTTTCTCCTTTGTTCCTTAAGAATTCTGAGATACCAATATTATCTTCATTTTATATAGAAAGAAATAGAGCAGAGAGGTTGAGAAACACCCAGAGTTAAATCCGAGGTATTTGAGTCCAGACACGATACCAGGGCCTGTGATTTTACTACTGGGATATGCTTCCCATCAGCACGTTAGTTACTAAATCTACCTTTATTCAACTCAACAAAGCTGGCCCTTGAACAGTGTTGACTTGGGTGACTCCCAAGTCAGTGTACTTATTCTTAAACCTGCTAGTTGGGTATCTTCCCAACTATCTTTATGTGTAAGCCATAGATTCTGGTCAGTTTACCTACCTCATTTCAGACCTTATCTGCTTAGATCTCTGACTTTTTTCTCTAAACTTTGTTAACACTGGAAAGGGAGGGACTTCTGGTAATGAATGAACTTCCTGGATTTACCATTTCCTTTCTGGTTCCCTTTTTACTAAAAGATTTTTGTTTCTTTACTTTTCTGCAATCCCAGGTCACAATCACCATAGCTTACCTGACAGAGTCAATTTGATTCATTACTGGGCTGAGGGCAGAGCATGTGCTTAGTATGCACAAGGCTCTGGGTTCAATGCTCAGCCTCCAAACAAACAAACACAAGTAAACAAACAAACAAACAAAAATGTGTCAATACAAAAAGTCCTTGTGTGTAGGGCCATAAATCATGGAAAGGGGGCTGGGGTTGTAGCTCAGTGGTTGAGCGCTTGCCTTACAAGTGTGAGGCACTGGGGTCGATCAGTAGCAACACATAAAATAAAGTAAAATAAAGATATCGTGTCCATCTACAACTAAAAAAAATTTTTTAAAAATCATGGAAAGGTTCGGGGAAGGCCTGCTGGAGTATTATAGATTGATTAGGTCAGTGATGAGATAAAAGACTAATTGATGAATGGGATATGGAGATTCTCAGATTGGTGTTTTGATATGTATAAAAAAGGAACTTAAAACAATGATAGTCTTTTATTTAAAGCACATAATTATAAGAATTCAAAATTTCCTGCTTGATTTGCTGGGGCTGTAGTTTTTGATGATCTTAATACTGATACTCTGATAACTCCAGTAACCTATTCCAGATTAAAAGAATTTACCAAAATGCTCAGAGTAAATGTCAAATTGACTTGCAGGGTGGATTGATTTTACTTCTCTACCACTTTTCGAGAAGCTTCATAAGTTCCAACTACCCCTTTAAAGATTTCTGGCTGTTAAGTTCTGACTCATTTTTAACATTCAATACTTTCCTTTTAATTTAGGAGTGGATTAAGTTTACTGAAATTATCTCACGGAAAGTATAGCTGGTATACTTTTAAAGGAAATGCTGGCCTGATAGGTAGTAGATGAGGAAGAAAAGGAGATCCCTTTCTTTGTGCCTCTTCAGAAGTATGAGAGATTTAAGCAGGCAGGTCTCAGGAATAAAAATCAGACTATCCTCTCACTGCATTAATAAGAAAAGAAGAACCACAACAGTTGCTCTTTAATCATTTAGACTCAGCCCTCATGATCATTTTAAATTAGTAGAAAGAATATGTTTATAGTCAGTTAAGATAGGAAGGAAGATTCCAGTTAGCATTTCTTGAAAATTGCTGGTAACTTCTGATCTTTCTACATTTCCCAGGAAGGAATGAAATACTGGCCAGCTTGTGCCCTCAAGTGTTTGGGATGTATCTAGTAAAGCTTGCTGTGGCCATGGTGCTGGCTGGTGGGATTCAAAGGACTGATGCTACAGGAACAAGGGTCAGAGGTTAGTATACTGTTTTGAAAATTAAAAAATATTAACACAGGGGCTGGGGTTGTGGCTCAGTGGTAGAGAGCTTGCTTAGCATGCAGGGGGCACTGGGTTCGATCGATCCTCAGCACCACATAAATGTAAGATAATGATATTGTGTCCACCTAAAACTTAATTTATTCTTAACACATATAAATACAGAAGCTAGGCTTTTTCTTTCCTAGTAAAAGCACTGTTTTGAGATTTTCTGACTGTTGTATATTTCATACTTAGTTCAGCACCTTTATCAGAAGCTACTCTCCCAAATTCCAGAAACATTTTAAAAAATTAAGTTTTTCAATAGGTAAATAGTATTGATCTACCCTATATAGGTGCTGCTAAATAAAATTTTTATGATTTTATTACTAGTAATTTTTACGGGATCCTGAGTCTTTCTTCAAGAAGATTAGAAATAGCGCATTTTTAAATATTGCCAAGTCAGTCTCTCCATCTGGGACTGTCGGTATATTTCTCTCAGACTGCTGCTCTCAGTTATCTGCCTGCTGATTCCCCTTCTGTTGGTAGATAGCAAATGTGCCATCTGCCATGAGATGCTGCTGTAGGTCACACATTCAAGCAAAGATTACTCTAAGTGTATAATTATGTTTGGATAGCAGAGAGCTCTTTTGCAGCTAACACACTTAACTGACTTGAATGTCCCTCATATGGGCCATAATAACCAAAGAGTAAACTAGATAACTAAAAGAACATTATTGTAAATCAGGCTGTTAGTAGAGTAAAAAATAGTTCAGCATAGAATACTAAGTATAGGGTTTGTATACATTATGTGTTTTCATCATCTGTTATCTACATGGTACTCTGATAATTGCTGAGCTTATATAGGGATTGTCTATTAATATATTTAGAAAACACTAGAGTAAACTAAAGACATTTGGTCAGTGAGATAACAAGTACCAAAGAATGGTCACTTGTTCGTTTATGTTGCATTTGAAATATAAGAATATTTAATTATTTTGAGAGATCTACCAAGCTTCATTCTCACTCATTTATTTTAAGATATAGAGTCTGGCTAACTTTGCAACACTCCAGCCTTAGCCTCCTGAGTTGCTGGAATTATAGGTGTATGCCACTGCAACCACCTATTTTTTAAAGATAGATATTTTATTAAGCTACTAAAATTTTCATAAAATAAGAAATGCTTTTGCTTATTTGTTAGATCTTACATAATTTGACAAGTATAAAGCACTTTTAAAAATCTCCAACAATTAGAAATATTTAAATAAAAATAGAATAAAATACTTGTATGACTTGAATGGAAAGATTTAATAACAGTAGTTTGTATTTAAAATTGGTAGAATAAAATCAGAAATTTTATAAGCCAAATTTTTAAAAAATTAAGCAAGGGCCTAAACATCTGGAAATAGCACACAATCTATTAATAGAATTTAGATTTTAAATGTCACATTCAGTAATCAAGTAAAGATTACTATTACTATGAGAGTTAACTGTTCTAAAGATTGTCTAGTTAAATCCTTTCTTGAACCTTACATAAAAGTATACATCAATAACACTGTATAAAATAAACTATGTTAGCATTCCAAGTGGATCATTTTCTTTTTGATTATATTTATTCATGGATCCTTTTATAGCAATTTTAAATTTTATTTAATTTTTTCTAGGTGAACCTCATCTTTTATTGGTTGGGGATCCTGGCACAGGGAAATCTCAATTCCTCAAATATGCAGCCAAGATTACACCAAGATCTGTGTTGACCACAGGAATTGGATCTACCAGTGCAGGTACTGTACGTGACAATTTCAAATAATTTAAACATTCCTCAGAAGCTTGCCAATGACTTTATGTCTTCTGAAAAGGTACCTATATTAGGATAAATGTCAAGCTAATTTTTCTAAGAGTAACTGCCAAAAATTGAAAGAAATGTGCAACTTTTGTAGCTCTACAAAAATATTTAGAAAGCTTCACCTTTACTTATCTTTGCATCTTAGTTTTGCTATGATTTTTCTCATTTTCTAATGATTACTTTCATACAGATTTATTCAGGAAAATGTACATATAATCTGGCATTTTATGAAGTTCCAGTAAACAAAACATTAGATAGATGGTGTAGAACTTAAGGCATTTTCATGTTCATAGGTCTCATGGGTAATAGTATTTCTTACTGAAATTTCTTTGGAAAAGATAGATATCTGTTTTACTATTTGGAAAGCATATTTTCATATATATAACATGGTGCTTCATTCATATATTGTAATGATTCTTCATCAAGTACATTTAAAAGCCTTTGCAGATAGGATGTAAATATTTATAAAGCAACTTCGGAATTCAGAAAAAAATATTTTAAAAAATGTATTTTAATGCTATTTTGTATTTTTACAGTTTTGATTGGAATGTTTCTCCTGTTCTAAAAATGGGCCTTTGGTTTCACACATCTTGTTATTTGCTACTTGTTAAGAGAGCCTAATTTCCATAGCCTATGTTCAAATTTCTTATGAGAAGCTTACACTTCAAAGTTTATCATATAACAAGATATTCCACTTTTCCCATATAAGTTAATGGCCTCTCGAATTTTAAAATAAAACAGTACATTAATATGCATTAACAAGGAGAAATTTATAAACTGAAAATAGTGGACAAACCTACTACTGAAAGGAAGTAGGAAAGATTATATAAAGAACACTTGTGTACTTTAGAATCTTTACCATCCAGTGTTCTAAGGTTCTGTATAAAGTGGTGTCTGCAACAAAGAAAGATGTTTCCCAAGTATTTATGTGGAATGTTGACATGGAATATTTCCTAATTACCTGGTATGTCAAGAAATAAGTCCAAGTCATCTTGTGGACTACCAGTAACATAAGATTATTTAGGAAGTTTCATCATGAATGGCTATTAACTCACTGTGTTAGTGAATTGTAAAAATACATTAGTATTTTCCCCTCTTTTTTATGCTATTTTATAACCCAAATATGAGCAAAAAGACTGATAGAGGGAATATAAATTTCATAATCGTAGAAAATTGACTGCTACTTCTCACCTACTCAAAGGACCAGATTAGCTTTTATTCAAACTGTTATTGCAACCCATTAGGGAGTCATGCAGCACATAGTGAGGTACACATAAAGGATGCGTTGAAAATTAATATAAACTTGTGTTGCTACAGGATCATGCTTTTTTTTTTTTTTTTGGATCATGGTAAAAAAATTTGAAAACTGCTGTCAGACTTTTGATAAAACTAGAAATCCAAAATCCTAAAACCACAGGGTAAGACCATATAGAAATCTAAAGGTTATAAAGGACAAATGCACATATGCTTCCTCAGATTCCTGGATTGTGTTCTCAGCTCAAATGATACCCCGATTTCCTCTAACTTACTCAGCTTATCTCTACAGTGCCGTTAGGTGATTTGTTCACATTTATATTCTTCATGATCAAAAGGCGGGAAAAACAATTCTAAGCCTGCCAGCTAAATTCAGATATAGTGTCTATAAATGAGGCTACCATGGAGAAAAAAGCCTATACACTAGCTCTGTTATTAATATTTGAATTCCAAATCGATTTTCAGTCATTCATTTTTTTTAAAACTAACTTAACAAAGCCATAAAACTTAATGTAATAAAAGGTAATTGTTTTTAAGTCCGAAATTTGTGTGAAAATTAGCTGTCAATTTCCAAATTGATATAAAAACCTAACTCTTTGATGTCACTACAAAGTGATCTTTTAATTAGAATAAAAAGTCAGCGGTGGATTGTATTATTTGGTGATTTAGTTTATATGTTTTATTTCTAATGAGAACATATCTTATTCCTACTAGATTAATCACTGAGCTCTTTGTTGGAAAGTATTACTTTTATTTTCATTTTAATACCTTAACATTTTCTTTTAATTTCAGTTAGACAAAGATGATATTTTCTTCATATAGTTTTAACAGTCGGAGGCATTTTGCTTTTAAAATCTATGAACTAGTTAATGGATAATATTCTAATAATCTGTCATATTAAATTCCAAAGTTTAATATTTAGCAAAACTTTTGCTTCACAAATTCACTTTTTTAGAATGACATGAAATATATACAACTTAAGAGTCTGTATTTAGACAAATGCTTTTTCCTTTCCTCAAAATAAAAGCTTTGAAAAGTGCAGTATAAAAGTTTTAGATATGAAGGCACTGCATAAGCTGTAATCATATGGCTACCTTGCTTAGCAGCAAGAGTCAAATGAAACTATTCTACCTTTAATTTAATGGAGTATAGAGACTTTTTGAAGTACCTAGATGTCATCAAAGAAAAATAACCTTTTGACCCATTTAGTTAATAAATTCCTTTCCATTATTGCTTTTCAAAAACCTGTTATCTGGAAAAGCTATCTAGAATGTGTCAACTACAAATATGCCTGATCCTATTCTTCTCGAGTTGTCAGAGGACATGGTAGTATAGATGTGAAAATATAGATATTTCCAAAATAGTAACTAATCTGTTATGATAAAGCTAAATATACCTTTCTAAATCCACTGTTTTTATATAAATAGTGCCAACAACAGATGATCTATCAAAAGAATTTTTAAAGTTCATAGTACTTTTATAAATCTAATAAGCATATTTGAGCTATTATAATCTCATGTTCTTAAACTTAGGGAGTTTATATGCTCTTGATATGTCGAAATCACTGTTCAAAAATGAGTTATAGTTCATGTGTTTTGTTGTCCTGTTATAAAACCAAAACCATAGCCAGAGGACCTTATAAACAATTAGCCACATTTGTTATTATTTTAGAAACCAAACCAACTACTGTCCAATATTACATGAACTATAATAGCAGCTACAAGATGTTATGGTGGCCTGGAAAAACTGAAACCTAAAGTTCTTGGTAGTTTTTAGTTGACTTCAAATTCCCCTTTTAAGGACTCCTTTTTGTTAACCAGTGGAAATTTGCCTCTTAAATTAAAACCACACTTTGTCTTCACAGGAAGAAACATTTAGTTGAAAGTCAACTTTGTTCTTTCAAAGGCCAGTAAAATAGTGGTCCCAAGATTATTGTCCAAGAGGCTAAGACATCTTCACAATCTGGTTTGATGATTCATATTTTCCTTTTTATAAGTGCTTTAATTACATATAAAGGAGAAGAAAATAATATATATGCTTTAATCAGATTAGTTTCAGAACAAATAAAATAACACATTAGAGAAAAAAAATTACTTAAAAATAGTTGTATTTATATTCCACAATTTGCTCAAATACTGGTTTTCTTATAAACTTTCTACAGGATGTTTTTAAACAAATTCTTCACATTGTGTCTTGACTATGTACTTACGGAATTTCAGGGAAATAGTTCTGTTTTTAATAGCTTAATCTGTACTAAAGGGATGGCAGGTGGTCACATGCAGTCCATGTGGGATTCTAACATGACATTTAGTGAGTTTTCTGACGTGGACCATCCCTTTGATGCTGAAGGTAATGCATCTGTTGAAAGAAGTGACTGTAGATTTGGATTACTGCTCTCTGCATCTTCCAGTTTTTCTGTGTTATCTTCCCAGTTAATGTGGAATCTTGTGACCCTGGGATTAGATGCCAAAATATTCCTTTGAAGCTAGAGGAAGGAAATATATAAATGGTAAACACTAGGAAAGTTAGATCACCATAGTAAGTAGAGGCATTCACATACAAAGGTATAAGTCAAATAAAGCCCTTCAAGCCTAACTAATAAACGAAGACTGAGGCCACGGCAAAGAACTTATTTTCCTAGTAGAAACAAAAAAAGGAGAATCTGAGGGAATTCATATAGATCTTTCACTACCAATAAGCCATCTAACTCTTCTATACTTTATTTCCTAAAAGGGAGGGAAAAAATCTTTTGTAGGTAAATGCTTCAGAGGATGCTTTATTGAAACAATATCTCTTTAGATTGATGTTTTCAAGGAAAATGAATTAGTTCCCCAAATATTATATTATAATGAATACATAGTAACTTCATTATAGTGGCTTTTTACCTTTTAAATATTATGGCTCATTCTTAGAAACAATATACTAGGTTCTTTGTTTTCTTCAATACAAGTAATAGATCAATGGAAGGCCCCACAAATAGGATAAAAAGCATTCCAGCCTTATTATCAGAAAGGAGAACTTTCTATTCCACAGTCATGAAATTTTTCTTGAAAGGTCTGACAGATAGTGCCATTTTAACTTTGCTTACTTTGCATCCTCACAAAATCACCAGTTATTAAACTGCTAATGGTTCCTAATGGAAACTTATAAGATACTAAATATCTTTGAAACTACTAAATCATATTTTAACTTCACGGAATTTAAGCTGTTTTCCATAATCAGAAATATTTAAGACCTAAGCCACCCATAGTGGCACATGCTTGTCATCTCAGTTCTCAAGAGGCTGAAGCAGGAGGATCCAAGTTAGAAGCCAGCTCGGGCAATTTACAGAGACCCTGTCTCAAACTGAAAAAGAGAAAAAGGGCTGGGATATAGCTCAGTGGTAGAATGCCCCTGGGTTTAATCTCTAGTACAAAAGGAAAAAAACAAAAAACAAAATTAAGACCTATAGTCTAACTTCTAAGAATAGCAGCTAAAACAAAGCATTTAGGTGGCATAAGATAACAATATTCATATAGAATGCAAACAGAAAATCTCTTCCTATAATTTTGGGAAAATTTATAGATAAAAATAGTGATTAATCAATAATATCACCGATATGAACTTGCTTGTCCTAAGTTAAAATCAGGTAAATCTTGACGCATTGAAAAATGCAACAGAGCCATAAACAAAGGCCTGGTTCTACAAGAGGCACTTTCATTTTTGTAAACCATCAGAGACTGTCAAGGTATCTGCCCAACATTAATACTAGTAATTCACTGGATGTAAGGTTTGAGGTGATCCATGATAATAGAACAATAATCACTTTGCCCAGATGGCACAAGGACTTCAAATTTATTTTGTATCAAAGCCACTTTCATAGTGTACTGTGAAATAGCAACTTCCTAAAAAAACTATAAGTAATTTAAAAGTAATGATAGGAATCTTACCTTAGAAAAGTCTGGTTTTACTGGTGGATTTTCCCTTAATTCTGTCTCAGTGTATTCATTATTTACATAATAGCCAACTCTAATAAATTCTTGACCTCGATAGGTACAAGTAATTAGCACAACTGTTACACCTACGGCATCTGCATCTGGAATGAGTCCTGGATTAGGTGCATCAGCCTAAAATAATTTAAAAAGAAAAGAAACACAAAAAAGCTGTTAATGGCATGAAAGGCTAGAGTTTTCATTATCTTAACACTATCAATTGAAGGTGCATCTGAAACTTAGAAATCACATTAGGAAGGCAAGTGTTCATTTTTGAGATAGGCTTCTAGTTTAAAAATATTGCTCATATTTATCCATGCTATAATTAAGTACCCTTAAGCAATCAAATCAATAGTCTTATGGATTTTAACTTTGTCCAGTTATAATTTACAGACCTAATTAATAAATATTATCTTTATACAGCCTATTGGCAAGAAATGTTTATTATACCAGGACACTTATATTCTCATGCCCACTTAACAGATATTCTAATTGTAAATTAGTATAAAATGAAGATGAAATGTATACAGCATTTAAAAAAAATGTTAATAATCCACTGTTGTAAATAGTCCCTTTGCTTTAAAAAAAAAAAAAAGCTGTTTAAACCACCTATATTGGTGGAAATTCAATGAGGGTGAAGATTGTTTTAGGTAGATGATATCAAAGACCTTGTTTTAATGCAGAAAGTGAATCGAGAAGAGAAGGGGCTACAAACACAAGAAAAGGCTAGGGCCGTATCTATAGCAGTGTACAGGAAATAAAGACATGGACTGGATGGAAGGAGGCACAGACAGAGAAGACATGGGCAGTGATAATACCTGAGACATCTGAGTTCAACCTGAAGCAGCCAGCAAATTCCAACAAATTAGCTTACTGTTGTCAGGACACTAAGGAGCATCCTGGGCCTAGGTAAAATTTCAGCCAATGCTTATCTCTCATCCAGTCATTCTCAACATCTCTCATTGCTGAAGGCTGGCTTCATGTCTTCATTTCTTATCTGGAATATTGCAAAAACCTTCTAACTTGTCTCTTCACCTCTAGCCTATCATTTGTACTGCTGCCAGCATTAGGATTCAAACACAGATCTGTTTCTGTCCTTTAGCCTGGTTTGAAAACCATAGATTATTCTCATTTTGTAGGGATCAAAATCTTGGTTATCTTCATTTTTAAGATCCTTCATAATTTTTCTCCAATAACTCCATTCATACCTCCTTTAATTCTATTCTTGTTCTAGATATGAATTACTAAACAAGTTCTTTAAGATGTGCTGATAATCTTTCCCACCTCTGTGCCTTGAACATAGTGTTCCCTTGGCCTGAAATGTACTTCCCTCACATCCTGAAAAAATTTGTATCCTTATAAGCCCTAACTAAGAAGGTAGAGTTAGCAGCTTTTTAAATTGTACTTGTATGCTCAACAATCAAATTATGTTTACTCTTCAGTCTTCCCTAATTTGTCCAGGGCAGGAGTTCCATCTAGTTCATCTTTATAATCTTATGTTTGGTAAAGCTTTAAGCATTTAGTGTTTTGAAATTTATTCATTATTCAGATCCTGTCTTGAAGCTGTTTTTGATCTCCTTGGAGAAACACCATGATGAGCACAGAGAGCTTATCCCAAAGATGATTGTCATAGAGATCTTACACACCTCTTCCCCAGAGGGGTTAGGTTACTTTTAAAGTACCCATAGGGTTTCTCATGTTGCAGTAGGTGGAGATGGGAAATAGTTCAGTAGCACTATGGGAACTCTCCTCCATATTGCTTCTCATCACGCAACAAATGGGTTCTCGGCATGTTTGTTTAAAAATCTGTTTGCTAAACTACTCAGGTTAGCAAATTCAATTAGAGAAAGTAGCAAGTCTTTCAGATCATTCAGGATAAGAAAGTGATGGACAGAGATCTTTGATCTTTGCCTTCAACCAGCAATATGAGGCAGATGTCTGGCTGTCTTACTGCTAGTCTTTGAAAACTCAAGAAACAGGCAAGTTGAATAATTCTGAAGCAGAATCATAGCAGAACAGGAGAATATTATGGCATGCTTTACTTAAAACACATAAAAAACTGTACCTTAGCCACTTTCTGTTGATATTGTTAATTTTGTAAACATGGGAGACACATAGGTAAACGTATGATCCAAATGACATGTGTTTTCTCTGTTCTTTTTGACAATATGTACACTGATATCAAGGTAAAGTTACTTATCACTAGAAGGAAATACTATTGATTTTTTTTTCCCTTATAACACTTAACCAAGAGCTTAGGAGCGTGTTGTTCCAAACAATATTTAAAAAAAAAAAAAAGATTCTCAATAGATTATTTCAAAACCAAGGCATTTATCTAAGTATTTATAGTAGCACTATATGTCAACCCAAGTTTCTTTTACTACACCATGAATTACTATCAGTAAAGTAAGGGTTCCCCAAGCTTGTGGCCAAATCAATTCCTGCCTCTTTATATAACAATTTCAAGAAACTAAGAAAATAAAAATTTAATTCTAATTATAGATGTAATTAGATTGTCAGTGATGATACTGTTTTATTCTTTATAACATTCTCATGAAGGTAGGATCCTACCTACAGTGGAGTCTCTAAGGGAGATGAGCTTGTCTAAATTCACACACAGCGGTGTGGGGTTTGACCAAGGTCTGTAATGGCAGTGCTTCCTTCTGCAGAACTGGGCGTTCTGTGTTACCCACTTTTCACAAGATTATACACTCATACAACTCATTTAACCCTTTTAATGTGTTTTAGAGCTTTTCTTCACCATTTGCTTTGATACATTAAATTATTTATGCATTCCTAATATAAAGCTCCTAAGGCTAAGAGAACAAGTCTCTGAATTCTATATGTAGGAAAGGCATTCCTAGAGCTGGACTGTGTTTGAGTGATTCTTTTGCCTGTTTATTTGTGGCCCTGGGGATTGAACCTAGAGTCTCACACATGTCAAGTGAGTGCTCCATTATTAAGCCACATCTTCATCCCTCTTTGCTGATTTCAGACAGGGCCAATTTAACTGAAAACGGTTTGTCACTATGAAGTGAGAAAACAGGAATGTCTGTGACAGAAAGAGTTAGACTTTTCTTTCTTTCTTTTTTTAATATTTTTTAGTTTTGGGTGGACACAATATCTTTATTTTACATGTATGTGGTGCTGAGGATCAAACCCAATGCCTCGTGCATGCTAGGCGAGCACTCTACCACTGAACCCCAACCCCAGCCCCAGACTTTTCTTTCTTGATGAAGACTTTTCAGTGAGACTTTGTTGGTAGAAATACTTATAACAAAAACTAATAAGTTTATTTAAAAAAAAAAAAAACACCTATGGCTAATTAGTCTTTGGAATATTATTAATATCTCCCTCCAAGAAGCATGGAGAATTTAGAAATGACTCAATAGTTTTGTATAGCAACTTAGCATGAATTAAAAGAAATCACACTTTTGCATACAGAAGACAATGTTTGAAGCCTTGGCACAGACCAAATACTGTCAGTGGTATCTGAGGACATAATTTATATTAGTAGATTTCCTCTTCACAAATGACTAGTGGACTTACAACAGTAGTCCTTGATAAGGTATGTAGATTAGATGCCTTAGTAAACCACTGGACTTTAATTCCAGTGACTCAGCTGGGGATAAACTCATTTATAGAGTGCTTGCCCAACATGCAGAAATTCCTGGATTTGATCCCCTCAAAATTCAATGCCTCAATATCACACATCTCCATCTATAGTTAATGTAGCTTAGTTACTGACTACTCTGAAATAAAGTTTTTGTTTTTGTTATATTACCATCACTCTTAGTGGCTGAAACCATAAACTGAAAATGTTTATTACTAAATGGTCTAGTTTCCCTTACTATTGATTCATATTATTGCCTGGTTATGCAGTTAACTGTACCAGTTAGCAAAAAGTGTTTTGAATCCATGTTCTGGACAGCCATCTTAAAAGTCTGATCTACTAGAAGAGCCCAAGATTAATCACCATGTGTGCCATTATATAGTATAAGATTTACTGCACGCTGTGCACTTCCCTGAAGCAAAATATTATTAACATCACTTCAGTACATAAAAACCAAGAAGTGCAGTCCCTTTATGACAGAGACTGCCTGAAAGACAGCAGATTAAAAGTAGTTGAAGCAGTGATTTAACACAAAAGTCAAAGGATAAGAACCATGAGACAGTCAATTTAGAAACATCTGGTATACAAGTTTACTAAGATGAATCTTACCTGAAATACAAACATATGCCTTCCTGCAGGAACAGGACCCACTAAAACAGAGTCTAAAACTTGATCATATTCTTCACTTTCTGCAGAGCCCACATAGATAATTTTCCATTCCAAGTCTAGAGTTAAAAACCAAAACATTTTTTCATATCAGTAATTACATTCCCAGATGACATCAAAAGACACTTTTAATGTCTACTTAGCCATACATTGGCTGCAAAATGATTTCGAATAGCAGAAAATCCAGAAAGGCAATGAACCGCTTCTTATAAAATTCTTACCAGAGTTCATTCTTCATACCACTTTCTCAAAATAATCTTTTCTGAAACACTGGTCCCTAAACAGTGCTCTTCACAAAAAAGACTGCATGACCAGAAATGTGGGAAATGCTATACACCTTGTCTTAAAAGATTATTATAAAGCATGCCAACATTGTGTTCTGAGACATCCCTTAATAAAGAATACCAGGAACCTTAGTCCAGCACTTCCCATGTTTATTTGGCTAAGGAATTCCTTAGTCCTTTTTTGCATGTCATCTTTTAACAACCTCCTCAACATACTTTGGAAGGCCTGTCTTGTGAGATTCAAATCAGCACAGAGCTCTCAAGTAGAAAAATCATTATTAGCATAACTCCCTTTTGACTCAGAAGTAAGGGCTTTATTAGCTCATCAACTGAAACAAAGTAGCTGTTTTATCATCACTTCTCATGGCTGAAACTATAAACTGAAGATGCACTTTACTGGTTTAGTTGGGACTGATGCCTATTACTAACTATACTAACTGTGGTTAAAGGACCACAGGGTTTTCTTTCCCTCAGGTCATATATTCTTTAAACTGGGAAGAGGAAACCCAGAACCTTCCACCTGTTTGCACAACAGAGTATATATAGGAGCAATGGGCACAAGGAGTATAAAACAAACTCAGGTGCACTCTAAGACTTTGATATGTAATTCAATAGCAAACTTAATTGAACACCTTTTACAATGTACTCTGGAGAACGCAGGGATAAGTAAAACTGCTACTCTTTGAAGGAGCCTCCTCTTTAGTAGGGGAAGGAAGACAATTCTATAAATACAAATCATCTTTAAGAGACTTCTTCATCCTCTTAGGGTGTTTAATATGTGTGGCCTGCTCTTGGATTCATGAGTGAATCTTGCACGGTAGATTCAATGAGACCACATAAACACCCCCAAAGGGAGGAGTTTCTGGATCACTTACAAGAGAATTTAGTTAGTGCCATTTTTGTGTAACTGTATAGATATTTTTATATCTTAATAAAAGAAATGATAGGTACATTTTTATGTTATTATAAACTGCAATTTATTGAATTGAAAGCTGCTTCAGGTTTATACATGTTGTTAAAATTCGGTGACTGTTGAGGGCCTATTATGTCATGGCTCTATCCTAGATTTTGACCACTCACACTGCCCACTTTTAGTACATTTCCGCATTTGGGTTCTCACAGGAACACCTACTTGTTGATAGAGATGAAGAAGCAGGGAATGTGAGCATCCAGTCAGGGAGAAAACATGCTTGGCATGGTCAGAAAAAAGTGAGGCTGGAGTTGAACAGAATGAACAAGGGGGTCAGTAACCAACCATAAGACAAGGGTTTGAAGGCCAACTTAAAGATTTTGACTTTTTACATTGACAGGTCCTTGTGAATAGCAGGCAAGCAGTCTACCACTGAACCACACCTTCAGCCCCATTGAAGGGTTTTGAGCAGAGAAGTGACAGGGATCCATTTTCATTTTAAAACATCATTAAAATTGCTGTGTTCAGTATAGACTATAAGGGGGCAAGACAACAGGAGGCTATTTCAAAAAATTATGATGAGGGGTTGGAGTTGTGGCTCAGTGGTAGAGGACTTGCCTGGCATGTGTGAGGCCCTGGATTTTATCCCCAACACTGCATACAAATAAGTAAAATTAAAAAGATCCATTTACAACTAAAAAAAGTATTAAAAAATTATGATGGAGGCAAAATATTATGGTATCATGGACTATGTGTGGCCATGGTGGATGTGAAACAGTTATATCCTGGATAAATTCTGATGACAGAAGCAGGAAGAGACACTTTTTTTGCAGGGGTTGAGGTGGGAGGAGAGGAAAATTATCCTGTTAGTTGTAGACATGTTTGAGATGTTTACTACATATTTAAGTGGAGATAACTAAATAGGTCTGATAAAATTTGGCAGGAGTATATAAAGCCATTATAATTGATAGGATAAAGAAGAATCAATAAAGTAGGTTAGGAAACTAGTGGCTAATTAGGTAGGTGACCAAAAAGCCAAGAAGCTTTTGAAAGAGATGTGAAAGCTACTAAGCTAGCCAAGAGAGGATAAGACTGAGAATTGTCATAGAGGTTTTCATAAGATTGTTAATTTCATATGTATTTGTACCACTAGGAACTTGGACTCAATGGTATAAGCTGGCATGTTGTCTGACATAGGGAATGTACCCATAATTTATAAACCTGCTTGTACTGGTTCTGCCACTTAACACTGTTGGTAAAACCTCAACAGCTTTATTATATAGATGTAATTTTGCAAATACATGTATATATTTTTAGGTATTTTATGTGGGACTCTAACCTACTCATCTACACAACATATTAAAGAATCAAATCCAAGATGTGGTAGGGCCATTCCAAAGTCTGGACTCTCCAAAACATAACTGGGAAGATAAATTTTTACCTCTCTAGCTCTTGAATTAATAGTGAAATAAGGCAGTGTAATTGGTGGTGGTGTGGGGAGGTGAAAGTAAGAAGGGATGAAGGGATAATCTAGCCTTAGCTAGTAAAAGCCAACCAAATCAAGTAATGTCTACACATTGATTTTTATGCTGTGGGATCTTTGTGGAACCTACTGCATTTTAAATGGCCAGCAATTTTTATAAATTAGTGTTACTTGTTTTATTATTTTTAACCTAGATTTAATTATCCAGCCCTCTGTATTGGATAAGGTCATCTACTTTAAGTAGGTTACCAGTTGAAAGAGCTTATTCATTTATATAAAAAGTTAAATTTCATTCAGTTGTAGAAATCCCAGGCGGAAAGTATCTCTGTTTGTGGTGGTGGGAGTGACCCAAGGAAGTCAGCACAGGGGATTTAAAATTAATTAAACTATTGGAAAGACCTATGGTTTAGGGTAAAGATGCAGCATTAGAATAAGCTTGAAAATTCAGAGTATAAATCACAATGTTCAATTCTGATACACTGTAAATATTCAACTATCAGTAGCTGTAATTATTGATATACAAACTTAAAAATTGGTAAAAAGATCAGTCAATTCTTGTGAAGGCTTTGTAACTTCTGCTTAAATCTTTTTATTTTTAGTTGTAGATGGACATAATACCTTTATTTATTTATTTTTATGTGGTGATGAGGATCAAAAACAGTGTCTCACACATGCCAGGCAAGTGCTCTACCACTGAGCTACAACCCCAGTCCAACTTCTGCTTAAATCTTGACCTTTCATTTTGTAGAACTATTTTACTCCCTGACATAGGCCTTATGTTAGAAACAATCCAATTATCTGAAGAACAAACACTATATAAGGCTTTTTCTGAAGCAAACCAATAGTGTAGTTTTTAAAGGGGACTTTGACCAGTTACAGTATGAAAAATGGTGGCTTAATTATAGCTTGGGGATCAAGAAAGAGTAATTTATAAATTCTCTTCAGAATATTCTGAAGTTTAATTTCAGGAATAGATTATTAAAAACTAACTACAATATAAAAGTATGGAACCTAAAAGGAACCTTTGCTCAGTAAACTCAACTTCCTTAATCCACACAGCCTCTAGGTGGAGTATACAAGCATGGCACCTTTTTGAAAGATTCCTTTGCAGCTCCTCAATGACTCAGCTTAAAATATTTTAAAAAGTACTAAATAAATGCCCAGTGATGGTACCTCCATGTGAAGTGTTACCAGTGGAAGTAGGTGTATTCTTGAAATCTGTGATGTTATTGAGCTGAGTTCTGAAGGATTTACGTTAAAAATGGAACAGTTTGGCTTCTATAAATGGCAGGTTTCAAACTAGCCATGTAAAGACCCTGTAACAACATCCTAAAATGGAAGGCATCTTTGAGAAAAACTGGTAACTTGAAGGTCTTCTAATGCCCAAAACACCTAGTATAAATTGGGATAGATTGATCAATATTTTTCTTATATTTACCCATTTGTGTATGCAATTGATTGGAAGAAAAATGACTAACTCTTAGGTATGAAAAATGGGCTGGCAATTGAAATGCTTTTAGTAGTACCATGTAAATGTATGTAACCAAATGGTCTCAAAATAGTAAGAAAAATAATCTTTTATTATCCATGACCTCTTTATAGATTACTACATTTTAATAAATGAGCAATCCTTCAGAATATGCTCCATATGAAATACATGCATTGATGCTTGATGTATATATTAAAACAAGTCACATATTAACGTGTTAATTGTGGTTAGCTAAAGGAGGGTAGGTACTGAGGACTGCTACTTTGTACAACTTTTAAAAAAGTTTATTGCAATGAGTGCACATTGCTTTTAAAATTAACATCTTACTTAAAATACATTTTACAGATTAAGAACTGATTTTTAAAATGAAAAAATGCTTTACAGTGCCATGATTAGCCTAATAATTTTAAATGCATTTTTTCAAATATACATGTAAGCTCAAAGATGGTCCCCTATTTTAACTGTGAAATTAATACTTAAGTCAAACTTTTTTCCACTCAGATTTTGAAAATAAAGCACTGAATTGTATTAATAAAATCTAAAAAAAAGCACAGATTAAAGATTATCAAGTTTTAGCTTTCTAAATACTGTATGTACTACTGCACGTATTTAAAAGATTCTTTTTAAGATCTTAAAAACGTAAAAATACTAAAGACTGTTGCGTTGCCATCAGGACTTTACCTTTTATTTCCTAGCCCACGTTTGTGTTTTATGTTCAGGGTGTATTCTGTATCTGTCTGGATGTGGTTATTTTAATTAGATTTCAACACGTTCTCGAAGACGGTCTTCTTTCGGACTATTTAGAAGCCAGAGATTAAGTCCTGGGAATTTTTTAAAGTATCTTATTTCTGCTCTTGGATTAAATGTAACTTCCTATCTTAGCAATATGTTTCTTCCTGAGAGAGAGGAGAGAAGATTTCCGTCACTAAGGAAAAGGAGTCCACGTTGGTCGGGGAGCCTGCGCGCCAGCATCCTGGGCGCCACGAGCATCCCAGGCGCTGGCCGGGAGGACCGGCCGGGGAGGACGGGCGGCCCTCGGGGAGCCAGCGGCGCGGAGGGGCCGAGCCTGCTCCCGCCTTCCCCGCTGGTTGGCCGAGGAAACCAGAAATCAGCGCGAGGACAGCCTCGCTCTCTTCCCCGGAGCGGCTGGGCATGGCCGGCCAGGAGAGTACGGCAACTCTGCCGTAAGCTCTAAAAATGGATTTGCCTTCGGCTCAGGGGCAAGAAGGTGGGCAGGCGGGGCGCCGTGCTCGTCACCCGCAGCGGGGCAGAGGAGGCGTCGTGACGCTGGGGTCGCCAGCCCAATTCTCTACTGGGGTAAGATGGCTCCGCTGCTAACTCGCCGGGGCGACTCTATACACGCCTCTCCCAGCCCAGACTGGCCGCGGGGGTCGCGGACGCAGCTCCCGGCGCGGGGCCAGCCAGGCACTAGTCCCGGCCGGCGCCGCGGGCGCGAGTGCGGGTCCCGCGAACCGCCCTCCCGCCCGCCAGACAAAGCTGACAACATGGCTACCTCCGC